GCAGAAACTATGGAGATGCCTATACAATTGAAGCTTTAGGTAACACTCAGGCTTGAAAAGGGAGCTTTTTACAAGTCGAACAGTTCAATATTCGCGGGACATGGTGTTAAACTACATTGACCCGAACAATGCATGCAACATTTAGGCTACATGATCCCATTCATTTTAAGATCAGTTACACACTAATGTGGTGCGGGAAACTGCAAATCCTATGCGTTTCCCACACCGCATTGCAAACACATGGCGCTCATGCGTTCTGGTGCGGGTGTCAATGTTAAATCAATGACACCCTGAAACAGATCGCAAAACGCAGTGCGATTGCCAGAAATCCCATCGCATGGGTGAGAACACCCATGGGATGTGATTCAGGTGCGTGGATAAAAGAGTCCTGCACCTTTTGGTGCAGATAAGATGCGATTTGAGCCATACAAAACGTATGGCTAAAATCTCACAGTACACACATCGCATGTAATTTGCACAGCAAAGCAGTGTGATCCCTGTGTAAAGTCCATGCGATGACCCGCACCGGAATAATGTGAACCCAGTCTAAAGCTCAACTCCAGTACTAGAAAAAAAATGACCTCTGCAGTAGCCAGAAATGAAGAAAAACAAGGGCTTTAACTGAGACAATAGGGTAATAACACTACATAGGAAACCTATAAAAATTAAACCGTCCATAGATGGATGGAATCTCAGCCAGTTCAGCACGTTCTGAGATTCAAACCATTTATGGGCAGGCTGGTTGTACTGAAGTCAATTCATTGACTATAATTCAACCAGCCAGTCAGATTATGTTCATACAACCACTGTCGGCAACTATAGTCGCTAGCAGTGATCATTGTGTTCTGCCAGTTGGGAAGGCTCCCCGCCAGCAGAACACAATAGCGCTGCGGGAGGGATTGCCCCATCAACACTGACTGTGATGGGGAATCAAGCAATTTTCTTTCCTTCCATCCATGGTTGAAGGAAAGAAAAGTGCATAATCTATGGCCTGCTTAAGGAGAAAAAATTGTATGCAACCATAAAGCATGTTGTGAAAATGACCAATGGTAATAATAAACTTAAAAAGAACTAAAAACAAACTGAACACCAAACAATTCTCTGTAACACTTAAACAAGTCATATGAAACCCCGTGAGTGGACAAAGGAAAATGAAAAACTCCCAGTAGTGTTCCCTGCAGGCTGCTTTTTCCATTGACACAAAGGTCAAATCAGGCCTTGCTGAGACACCCATTTTGTTTTACAATGTCTTATATCTAAGGGAAATTAACAGAAAATGGAGAGTATAAATACAATTAGTAATTCATCTCATGCATTTCTTTCCCATTCATTGATAGCCATTAAATAATACTGAACTAATATTATGTTGATACAATTAGTAGATGATTATGTGCTCGCTGCAGTCAAGTTGTTTCTAGTGCTGGGATCTCAGTGCTATTTGATTTCACAGCAGGACGTGCACAAGGATTTGATTTAGGAAAAAAATAAGCTGCAAAACGGGTTTATGCCTTGGGTAAGTGGGTAGGTGTATAGGGCTTTGCTTATGGGTTAGTACAAATGTAAGGAGTAAGGATAGTTCAATGTAAGGGGTAAGGTTAGTACAGATGTAAGGGGTAAGGATAGTTCAAATGTAAGGGGTAAGGATAGTACAGATGAAAGGGGTAAGGATAGTACAGATGAAAGGGGTAAGGTTAGTACAGATGAAAGGGGTAAGGTTAGTACAGATGTAAGGGGTAAGGTTATTACAGATGCAAGGGGTAAGGTTAGTACAGATGCAAGGGGTAAGGTTAGTACAGATATAAGGGGTAAGGTTAGTACAGATGCAAGGGGTAAGGTTAGTACAGATGTAAGGGGTAAGGTTAGTACAGATGTAAGGGGTAAGGTTAGTACAGATGTAAGGGGTAAGGTTATTACAGATGTAAGGGTAAGGTTATTACAGATGTAAGGGGTAAGGTTATTACAGATGTAAGGGGTAAGGTTAGTACAGATGTAAGGGGTAAGGTTAGTACAGATGTAAGGGGTAAGGTTAGTACAGATGTAAGGGGTAAGGTTAGTACAGATGTAAGGGGTAAGGTTAGTATAGATGTAAGAGGTAAGGTTATTACAGATGTAAGAGGTAAGGTTATTACAGATGTAAGGGGTAAGGTTAGTACAGATGAAAGAGGTAAGGTTAGTACAGATGCAAGGGGGTAAGGTTAGTACAGATGTAAGGGGGAAGGTTAGTACAGATGTAAGAGGTAAGGTTATTACAGATGTAAGGGGTAAGGTTAGTACAGATGTAAGAGGTAAGGTTAGTACAGATGCAAGGGGTAAGGTTAGTACAGATGCAAGGGGTAAGGTTAGTACAAATGTAAGAGGTAAGGTTAGTACAGATGCAAGGGGTAAGGTTAGTACAGATGCAAGGGGTAAGGTTAGTACAGATGCAAGGGGTAAGGTTAGTACAGATGTAAGGGGTAAGGTTAGTACAGATGTAAGGGGTAAGGTTAGTACAGATGTAAGGGGTAAGGTTATTACAGATGTAAGGGGTAAGGTTATTACAGATGTAAGAGGTAAGGTTATTACAGATGTAAGGGGTAAGGTTATTACAGATGTAAGGGGTAAGGTTAGTACAGATGTAAGAGGTAAGGTTATTACAGATGTAAGGGGTAAGGTTAGTACAGATGTAAGAGGTAAGGTTAGTACAGATGTAAGGGGTAAGGTTAGTACAGATGTAAGGGGTAAGGTTAGTACAGATGTAAGGGGTAAGGTTATTACAGATGTAAGGGGTAAGGTTATTACAGATGTAAGAGGTAAGGTTAGTACAGATGTAAGAGGTAAGGTTATTACAGATGTAAGGGGTAAGGTTAGTACAGTTAGTACAGATGAAAGAGGTAAGGTTAGTACAGATGCAAGGGGTAAGGTTATTACAGATGTAAGGGGGGGAAGGTTAGTACAGATGTAAGAGGTAAGGTTATTACAGATGTAAGGGGTAAGGTTAGTACAGATGTAAGAGGTAAGGTTAGTACAGATGCAAGGGGTAAGGTTAGTACAGATGCAAGGGGTAAGGTTAGTACAAATGTAAGAGGTAAGGTTAGTACAGATGTAAGGGGTAAGGTTAGTATAGATGTAAGAGGTAAGGTTAGTACAGATGCAAGGGGTAAGGTTAGTACAGATGCAAGGGGTAAGGTTAGTACAGATGTAAGAGGTAAGGTTATTACAGATGTAAGGGGTAAGGTTAGTACAGATGCAAGGAGTAAGGTTAGTACAGATGCAAGGGGTAAGGTTATTACAGATGTAAGAGGTAAGGTTATTACAGATGTAAGGGGTAAGGTTAGTACAGATTGTAAGGGGTAAGGTTAGTACAGATGTAAGGGGTAAGGTTAGTATAGATGTAAGAGGTAAGGTTAGTACAGATGCAAGGGGTAAGGTTAGTACAGATGCAAGGGGTAAGGTTAGTACAGATGTAAGAGGTAAGGTTATTACAGATGTAAGGGGTAAGGTTAGTACAGATGCAAGGGGTAAGCTTAGTACAGATGTAAGGGGTAAGGTTATTACAGATGTAAGGGGTAAGGTTAGTACAGATGTAAGAGGTAAGGTTAGTACAGATGCAAGGGGTAAGGTTAGTACAGATGCAAGGGGTAAGGTTAGTACAGATGCAAGGGGTAAGGTTAGTACAGATGTAAGGGGTAAGGTTAGTACAGATGTAAGGGGTAAGGTTATTACAGATGTAAGGGGTAAGGTTAGTACAGATGCAAGGCGTAAGGTTATTACAGATGCAAGGGGTAAGGTTATTAGAGATGTAAGGGGTAAGGTTATTACAGATGTAAGGGGTAAGGTTAGTACAGATGTAAGGGGGAAGGTTAGTACACATGTAAGGGGGAAGGTTAGTACACATGTAAGGGGTAAGGTTAGCACAGATGTAAGGGGTAAGGTTAGTACACATGTAAGGGGGAAGGTTAGTACAGATGTAAGGGTAAGGTTATTACAGATGTAAGGGGTAAGGTTAGTACAGATGTAAGGGGTAAGGTTAGTACAGATGTAAGGGGTAAGGTTAGCACAGATGTAAGGGGGAAGGTTAGTACAAATGTAAGGGGTAAGGTTAGTACACATGTAAGGGGGAAGGTTAGTACACATGTAAGGGGGAAGGTTAGTACAGATGCAAGGGTTAAGGTTATTACAGATGCAAGGGGTAAGGTTAGTACAGATGTAAGGGGTAAGGTTAGTACAAATGTAAGGGGTAAGGTTAGCACAGATGCAAGGGGTAAGGTTAGCACAGATGCAAGGGGTAAGGTTAGTACAGATGTAAGGGGTAAGGTTAGCACAGATGCAAGGGGTAAGGTTAGTACACATGTAAGGGGTAAGGTTAGTACACATGTAAGGGGTAAGGTTAGTACAGATGTAAGGGGTAAGGTTAGTACAGATGTAAGGGGTAAGGTTAGCACAGATGTAAGGGGTAAGGTTAGCACAGATGTAAGGGGTAAGGTTAGTACAGATGTAAGGGGTAAGGTTAGTACACATGTAAGGGGTAAGGTTAGTACACATGTAAGGGGTAAGGTTAGCACAGATGTAAGGGGTAAGGTTAGCACAGATGTAAGGGGTAAGGTTAGTACAGATGTAAGGGGTAAGGTTAGTACAGACGTAAGGGGTAAGGTTAGTACAATGTAAGGGGGAAGGTTAGTACACATGTAAGGGGGAAGGTTAGTACACATGTAAGGGGGAAGGTAAGTACACATGTAAGGGGGAAGGTTAGTACAGATGTAAGGGGTAAGGTTAGAAGAAATGTAAGGCTGCTTTAACCTGCTAACCAGTGGTGGGGCGAGGTGTGTGGCGGTCAGGGTATCTCTTCCTATTTCTACAGCACATTTTAGGCATGTTATTAAACTTTAAAAGCCGCTTTTGTGTAGACATAGAAAAACCTTAAAGCGGAGTTCCGCTCATGCTGTCAAAAAATAAAAGTCAGCAGCTACAACAACTGTAGCTGCTGACTTTTAAAAAACAGCCACTTACCTGTCCCTCGGTCCTGTGGTGTGTGTCTCACAGCCCGTTTCACATGCCGGCCTGTATTCCTGGAGGCTGGCATCTTCAATGTGGGCACCGGCTGTGATAGCTTGCGGCTTCACATCAGGGTACCCACTGTGCATGCATGAGAAGCACTGTGCTTCATGAATGGTCCTGTAGTCATCTGGGACCTATCACGTGTCCCAAAAGACTACAGGGAGGGAGGACACCTTCCGCTTCCGATAGCCTAGGCAATCAGACCAGAAGTGGGAGAGGGTACCTGTCAAATTCGGATACCCACTCCCCCCCCCTCCGCCCCCCAAAGGTGCCAATCCTTAATGGGGAGTGGGGGAGTAGTTCTTAAAGCGGAACTTCCCCTTTTGGGTGGAGCTCCGCTGTAAGTCTACTGCTGTGCATGACAATTTTGAATGTGATGTCAGCAGACCCAGCAGACTGAACTGACCCTTCACTCCTCCCCCGAACGTTAGATAAAAGGGCATGTCATAACTAACTTCCAGAAGAGGAGGGGGCTATGACATACAAGGAGAGAGGGGGTTTTGCTAGGAAATTGACTCTCCTAAAGCAGTAACATTTTCTAGCAAATTGCAAGGCACATTGTAAGTGAATAAAAGCATTTATTGAAAGGAAAATCACTGCAGATAAGCATTTAAAATGTTTTCTTTTATGTTTTTAAGTTTTTATGTTTTTAAGTTGATGACAGGGTCTCTTCACGTGCCAGGAGGCTGAAGTGCCAGCTTTTATCCAATCCTTTAATGTCAAGTTGGAAACAAGTGACCAGTCTATCCTGCATAGAATTAACTAAAACCATTTGACAAATCAATCCAAACCATAAATCTTAATGAGCGGAGACAAACTTTTCCCATTTTTGATTCTTCCCTCAATGTCCTGCCTTGTGCAGTAGTAATTGCCTAATACAAAGTTTCCTATTTTAGTGTTACCAATGTATATGAAATATAAATGAGTAATGGATCTTCAATCAACAATTCTAAAAGTAGAAAAGTCTAATTTTATTGATGGGAATCCACCCATATGTGAAAGCAGATTTACATTTGAGCCAACTAATGATCTTACAGAAGCCATTTATTCTCGAATAACCTAAAAAAAGTATTTCAGCTTGGCCAATGCTTATCTGCCTCATCTTCTGTTTGCCTGTGTACATACAACACATTTCAAGGAGTGGAAACTGCATTTGTTTTTAAACATACTCCCCTGCGACATTTATACACTTATTCCAGCATTTAAAGTGGTTGTAAAGGCGTAAGGTTTTTTACATCCATGCATAGAATGTTTGCAGCAGTGCCCCCAGCCCCCTAGATACTTACCTGAGCCTCATCGTGATCCAGCGATGTGAATGACAGTTTCGGCTGTCCTGGGTCTCTGCCTCCTCATTGACTGACACAGTAAGCAGGAGCCATTGGCTGTCAATCACAGCCAGTCAGCCAATGGGGAGAGAAAGGGCAGGGCCAAGCAGCAGCTCCATGTGTGAATAAACACACAGAGCAGCGGGTGCCCCCCTAGCAAGCTCCTTGCTGTGGGGGCACCCTACAGAAAGGAGGAGCCAGGAGAGCCTGCGGGGGACCTGAGAAGAGGAGGATCCAGGCTGCTCTGTGCAAAACTACTGCACACAGCAGGTAAGTACAGTATAGACAAGTTTGCTATTTTACAAAAAAAAAAAAAAAAACCTTTAGAATTGCTTTATCTGCTGTCTGGAAATCTTCGGCACAAAAAGATGTCAGTCCCTCTGCTCTACTATGACCACATTCGGCAGGAGAGCACAGTGTGGTCAGTTTTGTAGCTGTGCTGGGAGATAATCCAATAATCAAGCTTGTGCTGACATGCCCCCCCCCCCCCCACACACAATCCCATTCACTGGCCATTCACTGGGAAGATCAGTGTCCTGCTGTTTCTCCTCCCCTAGCTCCTTATACAAGGAAAAAGGTATTTATAATTTTTTTTTATATTTACACACAAATGTTTTACCTTTAATTTCTATTTTAATCGGTATGGGTTGTTTTACAAGGTGAGGGTTTACATATACTTTGTCAATTTTAATGCGGTCTTGGACATGTATATACATCATAGTTACATCATATAAACAAGCTGTATCTATTATACACACTGCCAATACTTGTTCAGTTCAACTTCAACTGCTTGGTTCTTGGAAAAGTTATTTGTAAAGAAGAATCATTATTTCCATAAAACGGTGAATTAAAAGACAGAGAAAGAAAACGCTAACTTCCTTCCTCCTACAAGATGAGCTATATTTAAAGACGCCAACCTCTTCTGGCAAGTTGTTTGTGCTGCTGCATACATAATGTGCAAAGGAAAATAGATGTGTAAAGAAAAAAGAAGAAACAGCAATATCTGCTTCATCATTATTTCAAATTTCCCCTAAAATAAATTCTAGCAATATTTTGACTTCTTCCATGGGTATGTTCCATAGTTTTATATTACAAGAAGAAATAACAGACATTATGTGCTCTTAAATGATTTATAGAACAAGTGAAGCTTTAAATAGTGTCCATTGGACATCTTTATTTTTACAACTTTTAACGTTTTCAGTTTTGCTTCTAGAAATCTTTACCCCTGAATGTCCCCAGACAATTTCACCACATTTCAGTTACTTTTAGTTACCATTACACCTATAGATATTTACTTTAAAGGGAACCTGTGGCTACGCTATGGACATACATTATTCTTACAAGGCAGCAGTAAATGAGCTCAAAGCAAGCCTTCACTGACCTCTGTAGCCACAGGCACTGTGGAGCAATTCATCCATAAGCTTCACAGCAGAAGTACTTATGTCATTAAAGTTATGTCCTTATGTTTTCTCCATGCAACTTCAGCTCTCTCCCCTATTTTCTCCCTGTACCCCAACCCTTCTTCGTCTGCTCTGTTGCTGGTGATAGGCTGTTTTTATGGCTGCAGAGAACAGTGTTCATCTGCAACATGTGAACACTGTTCTCTGCAGTCTTCTCCTCTAAACCCTAGCTGCTTGATGATGCACCCCCAAGGGGTGTGGCCATGACAGCCGAACTCACAGGAAGTAAGATGAATGATGCTGGACAACACAACCCAGAGGACTAGCAGGCATGATGCAAGGAAAATGGGAGGGTTGAGCTGGAACATGGAGAGGATGAGAAGTCTTACAGTTCATTTTCTTTAGAACGCAGCCTATCTCCTGCCAGAATAATTTACAGAGGGACCCTTCTTTGATATATCTAGCACTGGTACAGCAGGGGGTGTCAGACCTCTGAAGATACACCACAGCTTCCACAAGGAGAGCAAGGGCTCTCTTCTGCAGCATAATGGCAGGGCACAGGCTTTTCTACTTAGGCTAAGGCTGCTTTCTAAAGACGCCATCCATAAGAAACAAACTGTACGGAAACTGAATGTCCAGAGCTTACGAACATTCACTGTAAAACCAGAAAAAATATAAAGTTTAGTAGACAAACCAAATCTACAAATTAGGTTAAAGCAAAGGTGAATTCTAAACACTTGCGTGAAACACAGGCTCACCAACTGCTGAACATTTTTTTTCCCAATACAACAAAGATTTGCCAAATACTCACAACTATCGGGTTGTTTCATTCGCAAAAATGACTGCAAAATGACTAACTGGCAAACATCGGTTTTCAAACAGGATGTCAAATCTCAGCATTGTTCACGTAAGATGTTATCAGTGTGAACAACATCACAGAGCGGTGTGCAGTGGAGTCAGCGTAATGACGTCATTGTAAGTCAGTCAATGTAATGACAAACAGTTCTATGGAAATTTGTGTGTTTCCTCTCCAAAAGTGTAGTCCTGTGTAGAAGGTGTTTTTATGTATTCAGGACCGGTTCACACCATAGAAACGAAGTCCGTATACGTTCCTGTATGCGCGTTTTGATGTGTTCCGGTTAATTTTTTCCCTTCTCTTTTTCTTCAACTTAAATAAGGACACGTGTGTTCTGGTGCATTTTTTGGTGCAGATAGGTTCTAACAGTGCGTTTTTGATGCATTTTACTGCGTTACAATACAGTTCAGTGCAGAAAAAATGCAGCATGTTCTGCTTTTCTTTCTGGAACTGGAACGCACTGGAACTGACCGCACTGCTGCTGTGCTATGCCATTGTAAGCCATGTAACCTACTATCAATGCGTTTTGATGCAAAAAAAAAATACACACTGGACTGCATGTGGTGTGAACTGGCCCTAAATGTTTGTAAACCAGAAATGAACTCTCCTGCGCTCTGAGACCCAGGTGGGTGGCGAATGGATGGAACCAGAACTGTAAGATTCGATCACCAGTGCATATAGGGTTGTGCAGCTCCAAACAAGGCTGGGGAAGCCCGACCAGTACTGCAAAGTGAAACAAAAACGAGAAGCGCACCAACCTTGCGCATTACCTCAGTAACCAAAATGTATTAAATACAAAATGATACAAACAGCGAAATAATTCAGGCATGTAAGTCCTCAGAGGAACTTGAAAGTTAGGAAGCCTGCACGAGTCCCATCATAGGGGTAGACACTCAGAGCACAGCTGACGCGTTTCGAAGGGCATCCCTTCTTCATCAAAGCTAAATGTTTGTAATCAAGGGTTTCGTTCATATAGAGCGTGGTGCCTGGCAACTGCCTGTACTGGATAAACGCCAGTCATTGATAGGTGTGCCCTGTTCGCATCAGAACGCAGTCCGGAGGTGAGGTGCAGTCGGCTGCACACGTAGGCACCGCATGTCACAGCAACGCACTGCACTGCTGTCTGGAGACATGAATGAAGTGTCATTTTGTGCACTTATATACAGTTAAAAAAAAAGGAGAAACAAAGAGAAACTGTGAGATGTCCTGAAACGTTCAACACACTACTCCACCGCTACGGCTTACTGCAGCTGAAAATTAACAGCTGCCCGCATGCTAAAAGGAGAATTTAGTATAAATGGACACTTCGATAAAGAGTTCAGTCCACTCACCAACTTGTGTTATAAGGACTTTTTCACCCATTTTCATTAACATGAGTTCTTTTACATTGAGTTTCCCACGTAAGGGTTCAACACGACACAGGATACTAAGAAAAGGACAGCCTCCTAGATAATTTGGTCCACACAGACCCACAACCTGTCTGCACATAGACTGCAATAACTCAGCCTCCTGGCTATTTGGACTGCTTAGTCTCTAAGTCTGCTTCCTCAAAGACTGTCATCGCTCTCAGGTGATAAGCAGGTCAGGTTGCCTGACCACATATTCTCCATATAAAGTTATACTGTCCACTTACACATGAAGG